CTCTTCTCTTCTCTTCTCTTCTCTTCTCTTCTCTTCTCTTCTCTTCTTTTCTCTCCTTCTTCTTTTCTCTCCTTCTTTCTTTATTTTATTTATTTATTGTTTGTTATGGGAATTATTTGGTTTGGTTTTGGAGGCAGAGTATATAGCTAGGCTGACTACGTTGGCCTGAAACTCTCAGCAATCTTCTTGCCTTAGCTTCTCAAAAGCAGAGATTGTAGTCACGGGTCACCAAATCCAGCTCTGCTTGTATTTTGCGGGGAAGGGATTAGGTTTTGAGCTTTGGAGTTCTTCGCTTTGAATCTTTGAGACAAGATTTTATGTACACCAGGCTGGACTTGAATTTGTTACATTGTTTAGGATAGCTTTGAACTGCAGATCTTCCTAATGTTCGGTACCTCTGGAGCCCTGGTACTGCAGTTGGAACAAGGCTGGTTTTCTGCAGTGCTAAGACTGGAACTTAAGGCTGCACACATGCTAAGCTAGCACTCAGTAAATGAGCTCCCCACCCCTAGCCCTAGCCAGGAGGCTTTAAAAACAATTAGTGGGCTTCACATTTTAGAGAAGTTTTCCGTTTACAGAAAAACTGAACTGAAAGCGTGGCATTCAGTTCCCTAATGCCCTCACATACTCCCTCCACCCGGAATCCCCTTCTATTAAGAAGCAGGGAGTAGAGGGTTTTGGCTCTGTGGTTAAGAGAGCCTGCTGCTCTTACAGAGGCCCTCAGTTCAGTTCCCACACCCACACAGGGTGGCACACAGGGTGGCTCTCAACTGCCTATAACTCCAGCTCGGGGCATCTGATACCTTCCAGCTTCTACAGGCAGTGTGGTCCTGCTCCCCACAGACACACCAGTGGACACAGGAACAAACTCCCCCCCCCCTAGAAACAGGGTTTCTCTGTGTAGCCCTTGTTGTCCTGGAATTCACTCTATAGACCAGGCTGGCATCAGTCTCAGAAATTCACCTGCCTCTGCCTCCTGAGTGCTGGGATTAAAGGTGTGCGGCACCACCGGTGGCCCAGCTATTTTAAGAAAGGGAGGGGGGGGCGATGTGGCAGGCAGCCAGATCCCAGCACTTAGGAAACAGAAGCCGTCAGATCTTTGAGTTTGAGGTCAGCCTGATTGACAAAGTGAGTTACAGGACAGCCAAAGCTAAACAGGAACACTGTTTGGAATAAACAACAGAGTGTGGGGGGTATGGGGGAGGAACACTAGTGACACATACTTATAGCCTAGCTTTTGGGAGGCAGAGGCAGGAAGATTGCAAGCTTCAAGCCAACAAGGGTGACTTGATGAGACCCTTAAACGTAAACAAAACACCCTGGCACTGGAGAGGTGGCTTTGTCACAGGTTCTGTGTAGCCCTGACTGTCCTGGAACTAGCTCCTAGACTGGGCTGGCCTCGAACTCACAGAGATCAATCTGCCTCTGCCACCACCGCCTGGCTTGAACCATGGTCAACACAGCATCAAGGCGGGCAGTTCTCACCAGAAGCCACTTTGGGGGCTGAACATCCTGTCGGTTTGGACAATGTAAACTGGCATGAATCCAGCTCCATAGCATCAAAGACAGCAGCGTCACAGCCCTGAGAGCTCCCTATGGAGCCTTCTTCATCCTGCCCCCAGACTCCCACTCTTGTCATTGACACTGGTAATAATTGCTTGTTCCAGAGTGTCGGGGCTGGCTTCTAAATTTTATTTTATTTATTTATTTATTTTTATTTTTTTAAAATATTTTTATGGTTTATTTAACTTTATTTTATGTGCATCGGTGTGAAGGTGTCAGATCCCCTGCAACTGGATCTTCAGACAGTTGTGAGCTGCCATGTGGGTGCTGGGAATTGAACCCGGGTCCTCTGGAAGAGCAGTCCGTGCTCTTAACCACTGAGCCATCTCTCCAGCCCTGGCTTCTAAATTTTAAAGATCGTGTTTGCTTATTTGTGTGAGTGGGTAGGTGGGTGGGTGCGTGGAAGTCAGAGGACAGCTTGTTGGAGTTGGCTTTCTCCTTCTTCCCTGTGGGTTCCAGGGATCAAACTCGGGGGGCAAGCTTGGCAGCAGGGACCTTTACCCACCAAGCCACCTTGCTAGTTCCACACTGGCTTCTTTCATTTGGCAATAATCCTTTACATCTCCTTTGAGTCTTTTCACGGCTCAGCCGCTCAATTCTTTCTAGGGCTTAGCAAATGTTCCCCTGTCTGAATGGACCAGTGTGTTTATCCACTCACCCAGTGAAGGACGTTTGTGTTGTTCCCAAGTTCAGGCAACTATAAACAAAGCTGCTGTAAAATGTGTGTGTGCGCGTGCATGTGCATGTATGTGGTGCATGTGTGCGCGTGCGCGTGTGTGCGTGTGTGTGCTAGAGCCACAGACACAGCTCAGTGGTAGAGAGCTCACCTAGTATGCATGAGGCCTAGGTTCAATACTGAAGACTGCAGAGGGGGAAGCATATGTCAGTCCTGACCAATGGAACCATAGAAATTACGTTAGAATCAAATCCCTGTGTAAATAAGCAGAAGCGAGGAGACAGGTGGTTAGTGAGCAGTGACCTACAGGGAGGGGGCGGGGGGGCCCCAGGGAGTCCTCTGCCAGCCAGCCAGCCTAATGTGCAATGTGCACACGGTCTCATCAGGGAGTTAGTTAGGCCAGGGGAGAGTGTAGGATAATGGTTACTAACGGCTACTACCCTGTGATGGGGACCACCACACACTGAGGTCAGGGGAGGGTGACAGGGGCCACCGCACACTGAGGTCAGGGGAGGGTGACAGGGGCCACCACACACTGAGGTCAGGGGAGGGTGACAGGGGTCACTGTACACTGAGGTCAGGGGAGGGTGACAGGGGTCACTGTACACTGAGGTCAGGGGAGGGTGACAGGGGTCACTGTACACTGAGGTCAGGGGAGGGTGACAGGGGCCACTGCACACTGAGGTCAGGGGAGGGTGACGGGGGCCACTGCACACTGAGGTCAGGGGAGGGTGACAGGGACCACTGTACACTGAGATCAGGGGAGGG